CCTCTGGATTCTGGGTGGAGGCTCATTGGCCCTGGGCTTCAGCTCTGCCTCCGAGAACAACTGGGATGGCAACTCTGCTCCCTTGGCTTGGGAGTCCTCATTCTCCTAGTCCACCCACTTGCCCCAGGCAGGCCCAATTCTTCTGCTTATGGCAGCCCTGACTCCTAAGCTTTGGGTAGCAGCCTCATCCTCTTGACCAAACTAAATGACAGCTCCAAACTCTGGAACTAACTTAGTGAAGATCTGACTCTTTGAAACCTAGGAGGCTGTGGCCCCACCCTTTCAGACTTAGACAGTTCTTCCTCTTGTGATGCTTCCAAGAGTTTTGCTGATCTCCTGGCTGCTCCAGGGATGGTTCTTTTATTTTCTTCGAGGACAACAGATGTAGCTCCTTTGGCTGCTTTCCTGCCTGTAGAATTTCAAAATGCAGACAGCGTTTTTCCCTTTCATTCTTCCTTTGTCCCTTTCAGTCTACACTGATGGATTTTCTGTTGTAGTTGGTTAGATCAATTAGTCATTTAATTTCTTTAACAAAGTATCATGTAGCTACATTCTTGGTGAAAATTCTAGGACACGTGTCCTTAGTTTTTACAACAGAATTTTCCAAATCTTTGAATTTTGTTTTCATTTTGCACAGTTCATTTTTTAGTCCATCTTTTCCTCTTGAATTTTACCATAAGCAGCAAGGAGAAACCATGTGGCCTCTTTCAGATCCTGCTTAGAAATCTCCTCAGCCAAATATCCAGATTCATCACTACTTACAAGTTCTACCTTTCACCAAACATTTGAAAATAATTCAGACAATTTCTTTTCCACTGCATAAAAAGTGTTGCTCTTCCTCCATTGTCCAAGCACACGTTCATCATTTCCTTTTAAAGCCCTGTCCCCTAAGTTTTGGGTAGCAGCCACATCCTCTTGACCAAACTAAATGACAGCTCCAAACTCTGGAACTGAGTTAGTGAAGATCTGACTCTTTGAAACCTAGGAGGCCGTGGCCCCACCCTTTCAGACCCAGGCAGTTCTCCCTCCTGTGAGGAAGCACATTGAACATCACATGTTTAACAAAATTCTGTTGACAGTGCCATATGTATTCTATGGTTCTTTTCACTTCCTTCCTAGCCCTCACCGGAATAGCTTTTGATTCCATAATTCTAATAACAGTCTCTTTAAGGCAATGTAGGCTTTTGCTACTAGGCACCTTAAAACTCTTCCAGCCTCCACTCATTTCCCAATTTCAAAACCACTTGCACATTATAAGTATTTGTCAGAGCAGTGCCCAATTCTGGTACAAAGTGTCTTAGGCTAGGTTCTCTAGAGGGGCAAACCAGTGAATCATATATGAAGGTATATATAAAAAGCCAAAACCAAACTCACTGCATCAAGTCAATTCCGATCCCTTGCGACCTCTCCTTGGGTTTCTGAGGCAGTATCACTATGGAAGTAGATTGCCCAATCTTCCTTCTGAGGAGTTGCTGGTGGGTTTTGAACCACCATCCTTCTGGTTAGCAGTCAAGAGAATAGTTCATGCAGTTGTGGAAGCTGGCAAGTCCCACATCCATGGGTCAGGTGTCAGACTGGAAGCTTCCCCTGACTCATGTGGTTGCTGGGGCTAATGAAACCACAAAAAATAGCAAGTGAGGCAGATGACTGCTGACTCACAGGGTTGCAAGGGCTGGTGATTCCCAAAATTTCCAAGTCAGTCAGCAGCCTGCTGGCTCACATCCCGAGAATTGACGAGTGGGATGTAGGATCAAGAGAGAGCAAGCTTTGCCAGAACTCATGCATGTATTGAATGCAGGCCATACCCCCAAAGAAACTCCCCTTTCAACTGATTGAGTGCTCACATTGGATCACAAAACAGTGGATGATTACATAATATCTACCAACCCACTGAGCAGCATGGCTCAGCCAAGTTGACACATAACAGTAACCATCACACTTGCCAAAGGCACTACGGAAAATTACTGCCCCCCACTATTGGGTGGGCTTAGGACCATATTATGTCTTTTGTTCCTTCCAACAGTAAACTTTGAGGGTTTTCTATTTTTCACTTTTTTTGAACATATTATTGTGCTTTAGGTGAGTTTTTACATGTCAAATTGGTTTTCCAATAGTAATTCATACACAAATTGTTCTGTGATATTGGTTGCAATCCCAGCAATGTGTCGGCACTCTACCCATTTTCTGCCTGGATTCCTGGTTTCCATTCATCCAGCTTCCCTGTCCCTCTCTGCTTTCTCATCTTTAGTTTTAGGTAAATGTTGTCCTTTTGGTCCCATATAGTTTATTGTTCTAAGGAGCACATTCTTCATGGGTGTTTATTTTATAGGCTTGTCTTATTATTTAGGTGCTGTGGTGGCAAGTGCCTAAGGCATTTGACTGCTAACCAGAGGGTTGGCAGTTCAAACCCACCAGCCACTCCGCAGAAAGAAGACTGGGCAATCTACTTCTGTAAAGATTTACTGCCTCAGAAACCCTAAGGGGGTTGCCATGAGTTGAACTTAACTCAATAGCAGTGAGTTTGGTTTTGGTTTTGGTCTATTATTTGGCTGATAGGTGGCCTCCAGGAGTGTCTTTAATTTCAAATTAGAAGATTGTCTTAGGGCAATAGTTTCAGGCACTCCTCCAGTCTCTTTCAGACCAATAACTCTGGTTCTTTTTTTGTTTTCTAATTTGAATTTTATTCTACATTGTTTACCCATTCTAATCAGCACCTTCTATTGTGGTTCTGGTCAACATGGATGGTAGTGGTAGCAGAGTGCCATCTGCTTCTTCTGGTCTCAGGTTAGAGAAGGCTGTAGTTTATGTGGGCCATTAGTCCTTTGAACTAATTGATTCCTTGAGTCTTCATTAAGCTTTGAGATTTTAAAATAAAATTGTAATGGTCCTGGTTATTCGTTGCTCTCAAACCTCTAAACATTGAGTTGGTTTTTGCGGTTTCTAGCTTTATACCCCACCATTCTATATATAATCTTTTTAAAATAATAGCCAAAGACAAGGGTGGTCTGGGCACTGTAGATAGACCTCATTGATATAGAAATCCAGTTTTAAAAAGGATGAGTGAGTGTGGGTGGGGTGTGTGTGTGTTATTAATGGAGTTGACGGCCTTTTTTTGTAAAATAAGGAATTCTGAATGAAATGGTGTGTTGGCAGATAAAAATATACCTGCAGCGTCTCCCCGAAGATGCACCATAGCCTCGTAGGCAAGGAAGAAGCCATATATTAGTGTGCCAGGAATATGTGGCACACATGGCTTCCTCCTCCCCTAGCTCACCCGCATCAAAGTCTTTTTCAGTTTTTTTCCCCCCTCGGTGAAAATTTGGAGTCCAGACAGGCTTGCACCCAGATAAGGTAATTCTCTAAGGACGGATCCGGAGGCATGGCAGCCTGTCCCCTTCTTAGCCCCGGGAGATGTGCTCCTTGTCAGTTCGCCGCCGGGAGAAAACTCCAGCCCAGCCTAGAAATCCGTTACCAGGCTGCTGTGTCCCCAAGGGCCATTCCAGGGCGGAAGAAGACGCGGCAAACCGCTGTGTTGATTCCCCGGCCCAGAGGGATGGGCGCGCAGCGGGTCAGGTTACAGACAGGTGAGGCGGGCAGATCCCTGAGCTGCGGACGCCAGAGAGCCCGCGGCCAGACGAAACCCCGCAGCCCCTGCCGGCTGGCGAACGTCTGATCACCCCCTAGAAGGGGATGCGCGCAGTCTCCGGGAAGGCGGTGCTGGGCGTGCCTGGGCGCACCAGAGCCTAAGCGGTGTGCAGGGGTTCAGGGAGGGGCAGCGGGTCCCCCAGCTTTGGCACTGCTACTCCCAGAAACTTGGCGTCTTTCTCTTGCCACCAACTCCCCTTCCTTCTCTCCCTCTTCCCTCCAGGTACAAGGGTCGAAAGTAACAAATAAAAACAAATACAAAGCTATCCCGACACTTCCCTGGTGTAAGGGAGATGAGGAAGAGTTGCCAACCTTCACTTTACTGGCTTCCTAGAAGGGTCGTTTACTAGCTTCAGAATTGGGGAACTGGCGGTTAGAGGAGGCAAGAAATGGGGTGGACGCGATAGAAAACTCATTTCGGAAGCTGCGTTTGCATTGCAGCACGCACTTGGCTTTGGCTTCTACTGTATGTTTGTTTGAGGTGAGGGGGATCTTGGGGTGCTAGATCCCGGGATGGAAACTGCTTTAGTAGTGAAAGCCGACTTCTTTAGTCTGTATGGCACAAGTCAGTAAAATAAAGTGTTCTAGAAATGATGAATCTTAAAATTAGTATTGTGTTATTTGGAGGGCTACTGTAGATGATGGGGGGCTTAGGCTACCAAGTCCTTCTTCCGCCAGATAGAAACCAGGGGAGACCGCCCGTCCGACTCCTTCTTCCATCCGCGGAGATTTCAGAAGCCCCGAAACACTCCACCTTCTAGAACTGAGCCATTTTCTGCCGAGCTAGTTGGAGCCAAATCCACTTGAAAGCCCCAAGTGGTGGGGGAGAGGGGCTGGTGGGAGCCCTGGAAAGTCGATTTGGGTTTTACCACCAGCAGTTTGCCTTGATGTATGTGTGATGAGGGAATGGGGAGGGGGAGATTTTAAAATATCTTTCCTTTTTTAAAAAGAGGAGGGGGAGAATCAGACGTTAAATTCTTTTGCAAACATTCATGCCTAAGGAAGGGCTGGAACAGGCAGCCCGGCCGCCAGAACCGGTCGGACAGGTAGCGAGCTTGTTGACACCGTTATGTTGCAGGGCGCATGCTCACTCCCAAGTTTCCTGGTGCCTTTTCTATTCCACTTTATGAAACTTTTCCCCCGGCGTGGTCTCTCTGGCGATTTAAAGCATAGGTGGCGCGGAGCCGGAAGGCTTGGAGTCGCCGGGCGGACGCCGCGCAGCGCTGAGGGTGGAGGAAGAGGGCCAGCGAGGAGGAAGGTGGACTCCGGCTCCAGGAGCCGGGGACTGAGCCGCCGCCGCAGCCCCTAGCGGAAACAGCAGAACGAGGGGGTCGCCGCCGGGAGACGGGCTCACCATGCCCAAAGTCTTCTTGGTGAAGAGGAGGAGCCCAGGGGTCTCTGTCCGCAGCTGGAATGAGCTCCCGGATGAGGAAAGGGCAGACACCTACATCCCAGGTGAGCGCCGCGCAGGAGCTGGGCCTGGACGCCAGGCTCCAGGGGTGGGGGAAGGGTTGGTTTCGTCCCCTGGGCCGTTGGCCGGGGCTGGGCTCCCCACCCATACCTCCTCCTAGAGAGGGTAACGGGATCTCCAGGTGGAGGAGGGCACCGACCCTTGCCGAGGCTGGGAAAGCTGGGAAATCCGACGCCATCGCCCCCTTCAACCTACTGGGCGCCTCTTAATTGCCCAGCTGCTGGACCGTTGGTCGCTGCGCGGGCGGAGATTGCCGGGGAGGGCCGGAAAAGGGGGATAAAGGCCTGGAGGGGCTATCCCCAAGCTCAAGTCCTCATAGTGGTGCCAAGGACCCCTCAGCCCTCTTCGGGAAGGGTTCAGAGCTACACCACACACACACACACACACACACACACACACACACACACACGAGAGGAAACTTGACGCCCAGGGTCCCTCATGCATGGCCCCCAGTTCCTCGTGGGCACCGGGCCTGGGATAGAGGAGCAGACCTCAGCACCCCAAGCTTGCTTGGGAGGCCAAGACGTTGACTTGCTCGCCCACCTCCGTGGCGTTGCCCACTTGGCGAGTTGCCCATGTCCGGGGTGGGGCGGCGGCACCGCCCGCAGGTCAAACTGACGCCGCATGTATGTGTCGGGTGTCGCCCCTCCCTCCGCAGTGGGCCTAAGCTGCCTGCTTCAGGAGCCCCCCGAGGATTGCCGCAGCGACGGCGGGAGCAGCAGCGGCGGCGGGAGCAACAGCGCTGGGGAGCCGGTAGGCACGGAGAGCAGCTCGTCCCCGCGCGCCCCGGAGCGCAAAGCCCGCGAGCCTGGAGCCGCCGAGAGCCCCGGTGGACACCTGGCGGCGAAGCAGCGCCCTGCCGCCAGGTCGAAAATCAAGGTACAGTGTCGACTCTGCCCCCGCCGCCGCCTACACCACGCCCTGGCGACGAGCTCCTGGGGGCCCGCGCCCCTCCCGGCCGCGCCTGTTGCGCTGCGCCTGCACCTGCCCCTGGGCTACGGCCAGGGCGCCTCTGAGCGGCCTCTGCTTGCTGGGCGGCTGCTGCGCCTAGGCGACAGCCTTCCCGCTCCAGAGCATGGGCTCTGAAACTGCCTAAAAGGCACACGCCGCTCAGTCGATTCGCAGGCCTGAGAATAACAAGGCCGTCTAGGTTCCTGGGATTCGGAAAGTTAGAACCCCAGTTTCTCGGCTGTTCTAGCCTCTGGGACGCAGTTCCTAGCGCCAGGTAGATTCTAAGCTTCAAACCTTTCCCCGTGTGAGAGTGGCAACAGCTTGGCACACAGTGGGTCTAGCACAGTAACAACGGTTCCAGAGCCAGTTACGGAATGCCAGTTAGACAGGAGGCCTATGCCTGGCACTTTAGATTTGTTTTCTCTCTCAAATCCTAAATCAAATTGATGAATAAGAGTTCACCTGCAATTGCCTTAGCACTTCCTCCCACTACCCCAATGGGTTGAGGTTTTTGTCCCCCTCTCAGGGTATTTAGTAGGCAATACTTTATCGGGACCTCTGAGTTTTCTGTGATGGCCAGCGCAACGGCATCCCCTATCTCTCAAGATTAAGGAACCCCATTCTGCTGATTCACAACTACCTAAAGCCAGAGGATGGTGCTTTATGAATCACTGAACTCCATTTTACAGCCTGATGGGCCATAGTACCCCGGTCCCTTCATCCCAGCTGCTGCTGCCTGGGGGATAGAGGGAGTAGGGGAAGAGGTGAAAGTTTGCTTTGGACTGCTGGCACTTTTGCTGGGAGAGACTTTACCTTCTCTTTGCATATTCCCGGTTTCCAGGGCTTGACCAAGGGAGATAGGTGGGCTGGGGCACTTTTAAACAGGCTAGAGACTTGAGTGGGGATCCAAAGGGAAGACGTCTTTAAAGGATGCTGATTGTGTGCTGGCTTGCTGCTTTAATGGGCTGCTGAGATTTTCAATTAGCTGACCTAAGGTGCTTCTGGTAGCATAGTGGCTAAGACACTTGCCTGCTAACCAGACGGCTGGTTGTTCAAACCCATCAGCCACTCCTCGGAAGGAAGGTTGGGCAATCCTACTTCTGTAGTGATACTACCTCGGAAACCCAAGGAGGGGTCGCTATGAGTCGGGTTTGACTGGACAACACATAACAACAACAACAAGGTGCTTCTGGGCTGGGCAGGATTAAATGGGAAAGGACTATTTCCTTGAGGCTGTTGGTAGGTTTGCCTTTCACGAAATCTTACAAGTGCCCCACTTGCATATTTATCACTAGGCTGGAAAGACAATTGCAACATTGTTTTGGGTGTGACTAGCTTGTGTGCTCCTCTTACCTTCAATTTCCCCAATTCACCTGGAGAGAAAGTGTCAGAGGAGAAATATTCAGCCTCTTATCCAACATTTTAAGGCAACACAACCACTGCCATAGAGTCGGATCTGACTCATCGCGACCCCTCCTTGGATTTCTGAGGTGGTATCACTTTTGCTAAGGCGGCATCACTAGGAACTGGATTGCCCAACCTTCCTTCCGAGGAGTGGCTGGTGGGTTTGAACCACCAGCTTTCTGGTTAGCAGTCAAATGCCTTAGGCACTATTTTAGGGAGATCTTATTCCAGCCCCAGGCAAACTTCACCATTGGAACCCTAGATTTAAGGGCATAAATAAACTAGTTTTATTTATCAGTTGACTATTGCTGCCCCCCAGGGTGGGGTAGGGATACAGAGTTTGCTCCTAAACTTTTCAGGAGGTGCCTCCTCTCTGTGCTTTCCGGATGAGTTTTTGTTAACTGAGGTTCTTTCAGGTTCCTTTCATTTTCCACCCCTGGCACAAATACAAGAAGACATCTTGACATTAAGATGCTCCAAGCCTGTGAAGCCATCTACGGTGAAATGAGTTCTTTTCTGTGGCCTTTTGCCTTGGTTCTTTGGCAAAATAGCTTGAGAGATGTTCTTCTAAGGCCTGAGGATCTTTTAGTTTTGTTCAAGTTGACTGACATTTCCCTGGTAAGATGTAAACTTGGGCTGTGATTGGTATTCACCTTGCAGGGACTGGTCAATATATGATGCAGTGAAGTGAGTTGTAGCCTAGCAGTGGTGCCTACTATGTAAAGAAAGTGTCTGTGGCCTATGGGGAGGGGATTGGTCAGTTGTGGCACTGGTGGGAAGGCCATGCCTTGAAATTTCCAAAGAGTTTGTGTATATGTACAGCCAACCCCACAGAGGTAAGTGAGACAGCAGCAGGAAGAGAAGCAGAAGGAAGAAAAAATGAAGCAGAGAGAGAAGGCAAGTAATCTCCTAAGAGAGCTATAACGTTCGTCAAGGCTTGTAACATTAAAGACCTCTTGGCCTGAACGAGACCAAGAGGAGCTGAGAGAACTGTTCTGCACTGAAGAAGGGAAACTGCCTACATTCTTCCTGATCCTGATTCCTGAATTGTAGCCTGTTGATCCTGATCCTGAGTTGTACCACGTTCCTTAGTAAACCACTTAATTGTAAGTACGATTTGTGAGTTCTGTGAGACTTTGCAGCAAATTGCCAAACCTAAACAGGAGTGGAAAGAGTGCTGAGAGGAGCGAGAGTAGCCAGTGTCAGAAACAGAGTGGTAGAGCAACTTGGAAAATGTGTAAATCTACGATATATTTGACTTCTATCTAATAGGAACTGGTATTGTGCTGATTCTTATATTTGAAGTTATTTGGACATCATCCTAATGACTTTCCCCCTCTTTTGCCTCCAGAATTATCATCTATGGTATATAGACAGTTTCCAAATGACTGGCCAAGTTACCTATGATTTACCATGTTGTGAAGGAGCCCTGGTGGAACAGTGGTTAAGCGCTCTTGGCTGCTAGCTGAAAGGTCAGCAGTTTGAACCCACCAGCAGGAGAAAGATGTGGCAGTCTGCTTCTGTAAAGATTTACAGTCTTCAAAACCCTATGGGGCAGTTCTACTCTGCCCTGTAGGGTAGCTATGAGTTGGAATTGACTCCACAGTAATGGGTTTTTAGAACATGTTGTGTAATTTTGGAGTTCTTTGCAAAGTGTGCTGAACTCACTGGGAGGTTCTCTAAGAATTAGTTTCTTAAGTAGAAGAGGAAGAAAATCACTCAAGGATGAGACTCATATATGATGCATTGCTTTAATGACTTATTTTTCAAAAAATAATTTGAAGACAATTAGCTGGCAGTCAGCTCTTAAAATGAGAGGAAGGGAAGATTTGAGCCAGTGCCCTGTGGAGAGAGGCAACATCATCTCTAACACTATATAGTGCCTGCTGTGTGCAAGCAACCAGGAGGTAAAAATGCTCCCACCTGAGTTTTCTAGAAGGTACCATTCAGTAGTTGCAGTTAAGCATATAGACTCTGGCTTTGTTGTTTCTTAGCTGTGACCTTGAGCAAGTTGCTAATTCCTCTGGGCCTCAGTTTTCTTGTCTATATAATGGGGATAGCGATAATAACTACTATATAGAGTTGTGAGGATAAATGAGTTAGAATTGAAACATGGTATGGGCTCAATAATTATAGCCATTATTATTTGGGTTGGTGTGAAGACACAAATATTAATTGGTAAATCTATTAATAGAAAATGAATGCTAAACCAGAAGCAAAAGCTGAGATGTAATGCATTCTGAGAAGGAAAGGTTTCTTTTCTTAAAAATATAATTAATTTGTTTTTGTTTTTGAAAGTATATACAGCAAAACATACACCAATTCAACAATTTCTGCATGTACAATTCTGGGACATTAATTATATTCTTCAAGTTGTGCAAGTTGTCCTCCTAGACCCAGGGGAAGACTGAGCCCAAGATACATGGAGATCTGTGGAACACAGGGCCCACAGATGTTAAAAGAAGACAAGGAACTTTTCCCAGAGCCTACAGGGAGAAAAAGCCTTCCCCTAGAGCTAGTGTTCAGAATTTAGACTTCTAGCCTCCTAAGTTGTGAGGGAATAAATTTTTGTTTGTTAAAGCCATCCACTTGTGGTATTTCTATTATAGCAGCACTAGAGGAGCTTAAAAAAAAAAAAAGAAAAAAGAAACCAAACTCACTGCCATCGAGTTGGATATGGCCCTTAGCAACCCCCCTCCTTGGGTTTCTGAGGCAGTATAACTATGGAAGTAGATTGCCCAACCTTTCTTCCGAGGAGTGGCTGGTGGGTTTGAACCACCAGCTTCCTGGTTAGCAGTTGAATGCTTTAAGCACTACACCACCAGAACTCCTTCATACATGTATACAACTGCCCAATAGGAAGTTGACTGACACTGACATATAATTAGTTTCTTTAATGTCTCACCATTTGTTGCCTGCAATAGAAGTAAGGGTATCACCAACCTGATTGTGTTGATGCGTGGATCTGGAAAGGAGTCTTAGGTGCAAGTTAGGAAATGTGGGCTCTCCGAGCCTATCTGCCCTCTGACTGTAGGCTTTGGGGCAGATTGCGAAATTATCTCTTTACTGCTAAGGTTTCTGTAATTTACAAACCAGTTTGGAGTGGGGATATATACGTATGTCACCAGTGTTTATGCCAGTTCACTTCAAGTCATTTTAAAATGAAGAATGCTGAACCCATTTACTGGTCTCCAGCTGTGGGCCCAGGAAACACTGATCACTGTTATGCTTTGAGGGTTTATCAAAAACAAAGTAACTGTGAAATTAAGTCAGTTAGTTGACTGATAGATTCATTTCTGACTCAGAATGGCTGGTGGGACCCAGATACAATGGAGGCTAGCAGGCTATTTTGTACTCTCACCCTATCCCATTCCTTTATCTCTTCCTTGGGCTTATGCCAAGGACTCTTCAGAGGAATTAAGCTCAGGATTCCCTTAAAAGTGTTCTTGTACTTTTACATGGCTCACCATTCTAAGTTTTCCAGAGGAAACAGATGTGTGAACTTGGCATCATCTTTTCTCCCC